TTCCCCTCCGGGAATGTCCTAACCTTTTGCTAAAAGAGCATATGCTTTCTAGTACGTTGGTCTTATGAACACTAAAGAGACAGAGTGGCATTCAGAGGAAGGGTCAGTTCTTCTCATGTCTTCCTGGCCTCCAGTGAAGATGGAGTGTCACCCGTGGGTAGACTGTGACTCTGAGCTCCAGGTGGTAATTGCAATATCAGAGGCTGACCCAGAGCCAGCTCCTAAAAGCTACATGGTATCAAAGGAATGTCCTGGAGTGAAATGGAAGATCAACTCTTCTGCTAAGTCCTGTAATTTAAAGAATGCTTTCCTACATAGGAAATGGGAGCACCTAGCAATCTCTTGAGCTATTATTTAATAAATGATTTTGGAATAATTAGACAATACATTAAGATTCTAGGTCGCACCAAAACCAAAAATTAACTCCAGATGGATTGAATTGATAACTGTGAAAAAAATATAGTGTGTAAAAAAATGAAACTATCAAATGTAAGGTAAAATATAAGATTTTTTTCCCCTAATAATATTGGGGCAGTCCAAAGCAAGATATGAAACTCAGATTTCATAAAGGAAAAAATGCCAGATTGAACCACACAGGAATTAACAAAAGATACCCTAAATACAGTCAAGATACAGGGAACCTGCCACTAGGAGAAAATACTTGTAATATATATGACAAAGGTTAATCTTCCTAAATAGAAAAGAACACCAAGAAAACAATAAGAAAAGACAAACAATACAATAGGAAAAAACCCAAAGGATATGTCTAAGGATTTCATGGAAGAAAGAGAAATGGCCAATACACATTTTTAAAAAACAACCCTGAGCCTTTATAATATTTAAAGGAATTAGTATTAAGTTATCAACATGATATTTTTCACCTACAGGGAAAAAAAGGTTTAGAAGAGGTCTAGAAGAATATGCACTAAACTATGAACAGTGCTTCATTTTGAGGGAATATAATTGGGGAAGCAGAGCAGGGGTCTTTCATTTTATTACTTCATATAAATTTTTGAAGTGGTAGGATTATGGGTGATTTGTATTTGGGAGATGTTTGTCTGTATAGTTTAATTCTTTTGAAAGCAATGCAAACATAAATTTCCTACTTTAAAGAGCTTTGGAAAAATTTTGTTTAATCTTCAAAATCACAAAATGCATGAGTTAATTAAAATAATCAGATCGATTTTACCTACTCTCACATCTCAAGCCAATTTTCATGGATACTACTTGTCCTTGTACTTAATTCATGGATATCTTCAATTATACATTTTTCACCCCATACTTGTTTCTGGATATCATCCAACTTCAAAAAAATAGAAAAGAAAGAAGAAAAGAAAAAGTAAGGTGCTATATGTATATAAAGATTTAATTATTTTAATATATTGTTGCTTTCTCTAAAGTTCTTGGCACTGGTGACCAAGTTAATGGACAGCCAGACATCACTTTGGGAAACAAATTTTCAGAAAGTTCAAAAGAAAATGTCCTTGCTATGTGACTTTTGGATAGGCTAGTTGAAAAACTGGATATTACGTATACATGTTACATAATTCAGAGTTCAAAAGAATATTCTGTGAAGTTCTTAGCGTTCCTGCCATCTTTGTCCTTGAAGAAGATAGTTTTATAACTTTTTGTGTATCCTTACAGAGATATTCTATGCATGTGCAATCATTGGGATAATTATATGGTAACTTACTCTAACACTGTTCCGCATCTCGCTCTTTTTATTTAAAAAAATATATCTTGGAAATTGTTGTATATCAGTACCTAAAGGCTGTATCATTATTTTTAAAAATTTTTTAAAATTAAGTTTATTGGGGTAACATTGGTTAATACAATGATATAATTTTCAAGTGTACATTATATCATTATTTTTTTAAGGCTGCAAATGATTCCAATAGATGGATTAACCATAATTTATTTCATTAGACCCCTACCGATGGGTGTTCATGTTCTTTCCAATATTTTATTTATCTGCGCAAACAATCTGCGATAAATATACTTGTATATTTGTGATTTTACAAATATGCAAGTTTATTTGTAGACTAAATCTCTAGAAGTACGTAAGTACACCTTAAATTTTGAAAGCTTTGTAGCAATTTGCACTTCCTTGAACCTTGATTGAGAGTTCATTTCCCTAGCACCCTCCACTACATAGTGGCATCTAAGTTTTGATGCTTGCCAATGTTAGAGATGAAAAATGGTTTCTAACGTAGTTTTGATTATAAGCAAGGTAGAACATTTTGCATATGTTTAAGAGCCATTTATAATTCCTTTTCTATGAATTTATCCATTGTTCTCATTTCATTTTATTTACTTATTTTTAAACTCATTTAAATTATAAAAATAATATTTGCTATTTAAAGATCCTCTTGAATAAGAAAAAAGCTTGTAGCTACATGTTATTTATGAGAGATACTCCTATAAATCAAAATAACTTACAGTGATTGAAAATAGAGGAGTGAATAAAGACATATCAAAGAAATGCTTAAAAACAAAGTGGGGATATCAATATAAAATCAAACAAACTAAATAAAAAGCAATTTAATGTTTCAAATTTATAAATGGTGCTTTCATCAAGAATATGTAATATTCATGAACCTTTATGAGCCTAACATCAGATCTTCAAAATATAAAACAAAAACTGTTGGAAATACAAGAAAATTTGACAAATCCATAGTTTTGGGATACTTGAATGTAGCTCTCAGAAGTTAACCAATCAAGTAGACAAAAATAAGTATGGCTATAGAGGATTTAAATAACAAAATTAATAAGTTAATAAACAGAATACATATTTTTTGAAAATACACATGGAACATTCAGAAAAATAAGAAAGAACATGAAAAACATTTCAATAATTCTAAAAAGCAGAAGATATGTGCTCTGACCATAATGTAATAACATTATAAATTAACAACAAAAGAATAGTCTCTTTCAAAACAAAACAAAAAACCAAAACTTCAACTACAAGTAAATAAAAACACCTTTTTGACTCTTAAATTAAAAAGGAAATCAAAATGGAATTACAAACTATTTGGAAATAGATGACAATGAGGGAAACTGTTTATTGAATCTTGCTGGATATGGCCAAAATAGTATCATGTGAAAATGTATAGCTTTATGTGCATTTATTAGGAAATAAGAACATTTCATTAAACAATTTTTTAAAGGTTAAAAAAAAATTTAAATCAAGACAATAAACCTAGAAGGGGGAAGGGAGAATTAATAAAGATAAAAGCATAAATTGAATTTCATTTCTGTTAATACTAGACAACTCTTTTTTCTAAGGATAACTTGAACAGCTGAACAAACATGACAAGTATTTACTTGAAGCCATCAGCATCAGAGAACAAACAAGGTAATAAAGAATTATTGGACAAGAACCAGAAGACAGAAATCCAGAGTTAAGTTTAGCATAGGTACTACTTTCCTCTTAGAGGTATGTCTCATTGTCAGAAGAAGAAGCTGAGAAGTCAGTGATTTAGCCTCACAGGCCTGGGGGTAAAATCTGTAGTCCATGATCTTTTATACCAAAACTGTGGGTTGGAACCCAAAAGGATTAAGGATTGGAAATAAGACTAGCTTTCTAATGAACAGCAGCTGAGCTTCAAAACATCTCACTGCTAAAATTGAATTAGGGTGATCTTGGATTGCTCGTGCCTTCAGGCAACTGTCAGAAACAAAAGTAAATCTTCCTTGAGGAAGATGAAATCATCCTAAACCTCAAATTAGTTTCACCATAAACTTAGAGAATACATTTTCTGGCACACAATTGAAAGTAACCAGGCACAGGAAGAAATATAGCAACATGAACAAAAAACACTAGAAACAATAGACGATAGAAATTGTCCCACATAGGTTTCAGACATGGAAGTTATTGGTTATAATTCTTAAAAGAGTTATGCTTACGAAAGTAAAGGGTATTGATAATAAAAGATAAAATTAAGAACTTGGCACAAAAATAGAAATATAATAAGGACATAGATTTGAAAAATCTAATCAAATTGAAAACTGGAAAATACAATAATAGAAATTAAGAATTCTAGATTTAACAGCAGATTAGACAGAGCTGAATAGAGAATTAATGAGCTAAATGAGACAAAAGGATGGAAAAATACAGAAAAGAGGGTAAGAGGAAGGATACAGCCAGAAGGTGTAAAATATGTAAAATTTGATGCCCTACAAGGAGAGATGAAAAAGGAATGAAGCAATGTTTGAAAAGATATTGTCTGAAAAAGGTAGAAGCAATGTTTGAAAAGATATTGTCTGAAAATCTCCCCGAACTGATGAAAGACATTCAGTTACGTATTTAAGAAACTCTATGACTCCTAACAGGATGAGTAAAAACAAATTCACACCTACCCCTATTAGCTGTCAGTCTAATTATTGTCCCTGTGAACTTAAAGTGCCCTTTCCCAAGGTCTGGCTGCCTATAAATACCCAATTTGAAGAAATGCTCTCAGAACAAGCTTTACTATCCTGCCAGTTCTGTCACTAATGGGTTGAATGATCTTTGACCTTATGTTTTTCTACATTTGTATGAGTCGTGTTTTTAACTTTTTGAAAAGTATACTTTAAATTTATGTGAAACAAAGAATTCATGAAATAACACTTTTTCTTCTTGCAATATTTTCTATACTATTTTATTCTTTTCCATCTATTAAAAAATAATTCTGGTCACACTCACTAAACCTGGTCTCAACCTGCAATATGAAAAACCCTGCCTTAGCATACTTGGGACTGGGTGGAGGTGGCGGGGGGAAGGAAGAGGAGGAGAGGCTAGAATTGCATTAAAATCCCTGATATTTACATTTGTTCGTCTGTTTGCTTGGCTACCTGCTCCAGATATCAAATGACCTTAGATACTGGGCCGTTCCTTTGTTTCGTTTTGTTTTGTTTTCTCTCTCTCTCTCTTTCAGCGCTCAAACGCCGGGATCTGCGGGGGCAGGAGATGGGGGAGGGGAGTCCTGAGGAAAAGCTAGCGGCCAGTTTAATCTCAGCAGCGGGTTCCTGGGGTGGCAAACCCGCAGGTCAGGCAAGGGCCGGTCTCACTGGGTGGGGCCCCCCGGCCTCGTCAGCCTCTTGGATTCCTGAGAACTTTTTTGCACTACTGCCCAGTTAGGACCAAGCGAACTTCAAGTTCTCTTTCCGGCCAACGTCAGAGCTCTCTGAGTCTCCATAAGTCCGCCGGTGCATCTTCTGCCTTTGTGTTGGCTGGTCTTTTTCCCGAGCCGGGAGGCATACAGCGGGAGAAGGTGGCTTCAGTGTGCTCGTTAGGTCCTGTTTGGAGGGATTGAGGCCCGCGAGGAAAAGTAAACAGTAAGGGGCCTGGCGGTCTTTAGCCCGGCCCACCGGGGCTACTAGTGCCCTTGAACCCGCCCCTCTTGATCTGTCTCTGGGCGGGTTGCAGGCTCTCCGCATTTTCAGTCAAAAGGCGTGGCTGGGTGAGCTATGGATCGCATCGCCGCGCTCGGCTGCGCGAGGCTGCGGTGGCCGCTGCTGGGGTCACGGGTGGTCTGCTTTGGCCTCGGCCCACACAGGGCCAGAGCCAAGGCCTCGATCTCCAAAGCCCTCCCGGCGACCGAGACAACCGAGGCTCCCGAGACCGGGCCTGGTGACCGGAGGCCTCGGGGTCTGGAGGAGCTTCCAGGACCAGGGAAGCTGCGCTTCTTTTTCCAGCTATTAATGCAAGGCTACGTTCTGCATTTGCACCATCTCCAGGTAACTGAGCTAGGGCCTCGCGACTGGGGAATGGGCGTGTGCGCGGGGACAGGGTTGCTGAAGGGGCGGAGCGATGTTGGACAAAAAGTGAAGAACATGGAAACTTAGCTCGGAACTGGCTGGGGCTGTGGTCTTAAACTGTTACTCTGTAAGGGTTATGTGCAAAGGGTAGGCAGAACCCTTTGAACTGAAGTGAACAGGTCGATACTAGGATACTAGGAAGGTGACTTGGGAGACTAGGTTTAAAGTGGACAGACCTCGAGAGAGGAGGGAACTGCCTTGGTAACAGAATGACAGATGCAAGTGTATAAGCTGCCAGATGTTATACATCCATTGTTTAACTGTGTGGTGATATTGGCTGCCACAGACTTCTTCCAAAGGAAATGGCTTCAGGAGGATTCCAGAGGTTTAGCAATTAGCGAGGTAAATTTCTACTTAGGGGGAAAAAGATGTCACTTCTAAGGGAGTAAAAACAAAATCATAGGCATTAAGGAAACGGTGCAATTTTAAGAAATGTTATTAAGAAATCGATTTCCAGTGAGAAGAGTTTATTCAGTGGAACACTGATAGGAGGTGGGAATGAATGGATATAGACTGGAATCAATGGGCAGAGACTAGAAAACTCAATGTTGGTTAAGTTGGAGAGGTTTTAGGAAATGAATTGAATTAATGCACTCACTCTGCCCAAGGCTCTTTTTCAACTGTTTGGATTCAATGAGATGAGGCCAACATCCTCATGGGGTTTATATATACCTTTGGGGAAGAGGGAGGTGTGCGTTACATGCCACTGAGTTGGCTCCAACTCCTGGTGACCCTATGAATGAGTGATGTCCACAATGTCCTGTCCTCAGCAGCTCTACTCAGCTCCTGTAGACCATGTCCATGGCTTCTATTATGGAGTCAGTTCGTCTTTTATTGGGTCTTCTTTTTCAGGCCCCGAGCTGATCTGGTGAACAGACTGGTTACTATGTAGCTGTGCTGGACAATAGACAAAAAAGAGGAAGAGCTGTGGGGACTGGGATAGGACAGGCCTTTGAGGAGAGATTTGAAGACTAGACTAAGGGCCCTGGTTCCTCTGAGGGGCCATGGTGGGCTCTGGAGCAGGCATGAGGTGAAGATGGCTGCCCATGGACACTGTCCCGGTTATGGTATACACGCAGTAGGGTGGATTGGACAGGAGAGGTGGATGATGAAGGCTCGGGTATGGTATTATCTGAGCTCCCCTCCAGAGAAAGCTAGAGTAGGAGTTGAGGATAAGGGAGAAAATGATCCTGAGCATTTGAAGGTCTAAACTGAGCACTGTCTCTCTATACTTGCCCAGGCTGCTGCCATCTCCCCTGGGACCTTCCCTGTTGGGCTAATGTTTCTAAGACTTGATGGGTAGATCCCAAGGCACTCAGACGTTGTTGAAAAATTATTCCCTTTGGGGTCAGCGCCAAGAAACGAAGCCAAGAAAGCAGAGTCCTATAAACTTCCTTTGCTTGATTTGACCTCTAGAAATTTGAGATGGCCAGTGTGAGTGTTCCAGGAATGGGAACTCGGGATTTCTCATCATTTCTCAGAGGGAGTTCACTGGAAAGTTTTGCTCAGGATTTTCTCTAAAGCAGTAATTATGAAAGAAATTCTAGATGGTCCTAGAAGGGGGAGGAGGAAGCAGGAGAAAGCCAGGAATGTGTGGCCTTTTATTTATTTAATTGATTTTTAAAATTATTTATTAGTATTTATTTCTACAGCACCTAGTCTTCCTAGGTGGTCTCCCATCCAAGTACTAACCAGGCCCGACTCTGCTTAGCTACCAAGATCAGCTGGGATCGAGTTTGTTCAGGGTGGCATGGCCGTAGACCACGCACCATGGCTCCACTAGGGCATGAACCCAGGACCTTCTGCGTGTAAAGCAGATGTGCTAACCACTACACTATGGAACCACGTCCTGTGTGGCCTTTGAAAGGAGAGGCCAGGGCTAGGATTTAGGAGAGCCCCCTGGCTCTAGCTCTTATATCCCAAAGATGTGGAATTCCATGGACCTGGGCTATCTTATAAGAAATATATTAGCCTTTCCCACCTACACATGTGGCTGGTGTGAGTTAGTAAAACTCCTGCACATCTATAAAACCGAGTTAATACCCCTATTGAGGAAGAATGCATTCCAGTGACCCACTTTGCATCAGTTCGAATTTATTTAGTTGCCACTCACACTGGCTTAAACTATAAAGCAGCTTTATTGGTTCATATAACCAAAAAGTCTAATAGTTGGATGCCCTTCAGGTATAGTTTGCTCTAGAGATTCATGAGATAATCAATTTTTTCTGCAGTTCTCTTGGCTCTGCCATCTTGCAGAAGTTAGTTGACTGGCCTAGGTTAATTGCCTATCCCTGAACCCATCATAGTGGCCACAGGCATTCTCCAGTTAGCTTTAGACCCATGCGATGTCCTAAAGCTGGGATTGGGGTCCCTCCCTCTAAACGCAAGTGATAGGAGTGGAATTAATATAAGGGAAGCTGACCATAAGCATCGTAGAAGTTAAGGGGGTAGACTGGGAATTGGGACATGTGAAAATCATGCTAGTCCATAAACGCTAATTCCATTCTCTTTCCTAACCAAAATAATGTCGAGTGCTGGAAAAATGAAATGTGAATATATGTTAAATTTACATGTAAGTTTATATGCAATTGATATCTTTCAGAGATGTCAACCCTAAGAACGATGAGATCGGCTCTCTATTCTGTAGCTCTTATTGTAGACAGTCTGAATTGGTGACCCCTCTTGTGCCCCCCTAATGTCCCATGCACATACTTGTCATTTCATGTATCATGTTTCTTTTTTTTTAGTTATAAAATTTTTTGCTTGTGATAGAACTTTTAAGATCTACTCTCTTAGCAACTTTCAAATATATAATACAGTATTATTAATTATAGTCACCATGCTGTACATTACGTCTCCAGGAATTATTTCTTTTCTAACTGGAAGTTTATACCTTTTGACTACTCATTTTGCCCACCCCTCACCCCCTGCTTCTGGCAACCACCAATCTATTCTCTGTGTCTATGAGTTCAGTTTTGTTTTGTTTTTAGATTGTGCCTGTAAGTGAGATCATTTGTTATTTGTCTCTCTCTGTGTGGCTTATTTCAATTAGCATAATTCTTTCAAGGTCCATCTATGTGGTTGTAAATGGCAAGATTTCCTTCTTTATATGGCTGAATAATATTCCATTGTGTGTGAGTATGTGCGTGTACATCACATTTTCTTTATCCATTTATCCATTGATGGACACTTAGGTTGCTCCCATGTCTTGGCTATTGTATATAATGCCACATTGAACATAGGGGTACACATATCTTTTCTAGTTAGTCTTTTCATTTTCTGTGCATAAATACCTGGAAGTGGAATTGCAGGATCACATGGTAGATCTATTTTTAATTTTTATGGAACCTCCAATCTGTTTTCCATAGTGGCCGCACCAATTTACAGCCCCACCAAGACTATGTGAAGGTTCCCTTTTCTCCATATCCTTGTTAACACTTCTTATTTCTTGTCTTTTTGATGATAGCCATTCTAACAGATGTGAGGTAATATCTCATAGTTTTGATTTGCATTTCCCTGATGATTAGTGATATCAATCACCTTTTCATGTATCTATTGGCCATCTGTCTATTTTCTTTGGAAAAATGTCTATTCACATCCTCTGCCGTTTTTTAATCAGATCTTTTTTTTTTTTTGGCCATTGAGTTGTATGAGTACTTTATATAATTTTGGATATTAACTCTTATCATATGTATGATTTACAAATATTTTCTTGGTAGGTTGCCTTTTCATTTTGTTGATGGTTTCTTTTGCTGTGCAGAAGCTTTTTAGTTTGATATAGTCTCACTTGTTGATTTTTGCTTTTGTTGCCCGAGCTTTTGGTGTCAAATCCAAAAAAATCATCACCAAGAATGATGTCAAGGAGCTTACTACCTATGTTTTCTTATAGAAGTTTTGTGGTTTCAGGTTTTATGTTCAAGTCTTTAATTCATTTTGAGATAATTTTTGTGTATGATGTATGGTAGTCGTTCAATTTTATTCTTTTGCATGTGGATGTCCAGTTTTCCCAACACCATGTATTGAAGTGACTATCCTTTCCCCATTGTTTATTCTTGGCTCCTTTGTTGTAAATTAATTGACCATATATGCATGGTTTATTTCTGGGCTCTCTCTTCTGTTCCCTTTGATCTATGCATCTGTTTTTATGCAAGTACATGCTGTTTTGATTACTATAGCTTCGTAATATAGTTTGAAATAAGGAAGCATGACGTCTCCAACTTTGTTTTTCTTTCTCAAGATTGCTTTGGCTATTCAGTCTTTTGTAGTCCATACAAATTTTAGGATTGTTTGTTCTATTATGTGAAAAATACCATTGGAATTTTAATAGGGTTCCCATTGAATCTGTAGATTGCTTTGGGTAGTATGAACATTTTAACAATATGAATTCTTCCAATCCATGAACATGGAATATCTTTCCTTTTACTTATGTCTAATTTGATTTCTTTCTTCAGTGTCATAGTTTTCAGTGCATAGGTTTTTCACCTCCTTGGTTACATTGTATTCTTTTATGCAATTGTAAATGTGATTGTTTTCTTAATTTTTCTTTCTGATTGCTCATTATTAGTGTATAGAAACACAACTGATTTTTGTATATTGATTTTGTATCCTGCAACTTTACTGCATTTATTTATTCTAACAGTTTTTTGGTGGAGTCTTTAGGGTTTTATATATATAATATCATATCACCTGCATATAGTGACAATTTTACTACTTTTTGATTTGAATGCTTTCTAGCAACTTTACTGCATTTATTTATTCTAACAGTTTTTTGGTGGAGTCTTTAGGGTTTTATGTATATATAATATCATATCACCTGCAAATAGTGACAATTTTACTACTTTTTGATTTGAATGCCTTCTTTTGCATTGGTTTGTAATTGATCTGTTTAGATTTTTTACTTCATGATTCAGTCTTTGTAG